CCCCTCCCTTTCACTCCCTCTAAAAATCAATGGGAAAATAAAAAAAAATAAAAAAAAATAAAATATATATATATATATATATATATATATATATATATCCATCCTTGGGTGAGGATTAACAAAAACCTATAATCCCAGCTATAGGTTTATCAAACCCATATATATATATATATATATATATATATATATATATACACACACACACACATATATATATATATCAAACAAATATTTGTTTGATATATATATCAAACAAATTCCATTAGAGAGCATCCTACAAAATACCTCTTCAAAGCTGTCAAGGTCATAAAAAACAAGGAAAAGTCTGAAAAATTGCCACAGTTAAAAGGGACAGGCCCAAGGAAACATGACAAATAGAAGGTCATATCCTGTACGGTGTTTCTACATTTTACAAACGTAGAAACAAAAGCATGAGAATGCTGATTTATGCAATTGTTTAATGAATATTTATTAGTGAGTTAGTGAAGTCTCCTCCAGCCAATGCCCTGCAGGGGCTTCAGGTGCCCAATCCATGTGACCTCTGCCTCTTTCCCCCAAGCAGCTCTTCCTCCTCCCGGGCTGTGGTGTCACCACACCATCTGCCAGGCTCCCTCTTCCTCCCTCCTCCCCTGAATCTAACTTCACACTAAGTCCAGCAGGTCCTTCTCAGAAATGTCTGCCCAGGGTCTTCTCACTCTTTCTTCAGATTGGGCCGTCCCTCACCACGTGTCCTCTGCACCTGCCTCAGGTCCCATCCTTCCTGATGTGGACTCCACCCAAGCCACACCAGATGACCTCATCCCGAACCACCGCCTCTGAGGCCCATTCCCTCGGCTTTCTCAGGCTGCCACAGCCCGTCCACATCCTCCTCCACAGTGCTCGGCTTTCCCTCCAACTTCAAACATCACACTGTTTGCAGGCCTTTGCTCTTGGTTTCCTTTCTTTTTTTTCTTTTTTTTTTTTTTTAATAGTTTATTGATTTTGCTTTATATTTTTTGTTTATTTTAATTTTAATTCTTTATTGTTTAAAGTATTACATATGTCTTCTTTTTCCCCCATTGGCCTCTCCCCGGCCTCTCCCACCCCCGATTTTGCTTTTTAGAGAGAGGGGAAGGGAGAGGGAGAAACAATGATGTAAGAGCTTAACACTGATTGGCAGCTGCCTCCTGCACGTCCCCTACCAGGAACCGAACCTGCACAGGAGGACGCCGGAGGACTGAGCCACCCCGCTCAAGGTCCTCTTGGTGTTCCTGAGCCCTGTCTAATGCCTTTCTCTTTTTGCTCTTGGAAATCAAGCATGCACTTCAAGTCCTAGCTCAAATCCACCTGCTTTTGTATTCCAGTCCTCTCTCTCCCTCACCTAGCAGTCAGCCTTGGTCTGTCTCATGGCTCTACCACATGGATTCGGAGGCACAGGAGCTGCTGGTGGATCTGTGTCTGTAACTGTGAGTTCCCTGAGGCACCTCTGTATTCCCGTGCTCAGCAAAGTTTGAGTGATTTCTTACAATCAGCTTCTGTTATATCACAACAGAATGTCAACACTTCAAAATTAAGTGCCAGTAAGTGGCCAGCGCAAGGAAAGCCATTGTAGCTCTTAGGGGGAGGTTGTGGTCCAACGAGGAGGTGACTTGAGAGTGATTGTCAGATTAAATTCCTATTTAGAGTTTATTGAGCATATGTACTTTTTTAAAAAATATATTTTATTGAGTTTTTTTAAAAATATATTTTATTGATTTTATACAGAGAAGAAGGGAGAGAGATAGAGAGTTAGAAACATCGATGAGAGAGAGTCATCGATCAGCTGCCTCTTGCACACCCCCCACCGGGGATGTGCCCGCAACCAAGGTACATGCCCTTGACCAGAATCGAACCCGGGACCTTTCAGTCTGCAGGCTGATGCTCTATCCACTGAGCCAAACTGGTTTTGGCTATCAGGAGCATATGTTCTATGTTAGACATTATGCTATAGCAATGAGCTTTCTCCTAGATCACTTCATTTACTCTTCAAAACAGACCTCCTAGGTAATTATTGCATCTATTTCTGTAGATGAAGAAACCGAAGCTAAGAGCAATCAAATGTGCAGTGTCACAGCTAACAAGTGACTGGGGATGGATAAGAGGGCTGGGCTGCCGAGACAGGTTTGGCTCAGTGGATAGAGCGTCGGCCTGAGGACTGGGGGGGCCCGGGTTCGATTCCGGTCAGGGGCATGTACCTTGGTTGCGGGCACATCCCCGGTGGGGGGTGTGCAGGAGGCAGCTGGTCGATGATTCTCTCATCAATGTTTCTGACTCTCTATCCCTCTCTCTTCCTCTCTGTGAAAAATCAATAAAATATATTAAAGAAAAAAAGAAAAAAAAGAGGGCTGGGCTCTGGGCTCTTCCAAAGTCCAGCCCAAGGACTGAGTAATGAGCATGTGGGAGATGCGGCTGTCACCACCTCAGCAGGAATCCAGCGTGTTCCGTGTCTGTAGTAAGCCAGGCTCACGTAGGCCCCACCCCACACATCCCAGAGAGCAGTGGGGAAGAGCGAGGCTTTCAGAACGGTGAGGGGGTGGCTGGAAGGACTGTGTCCCTGAGAACACCCCCATGCTGACCCGCTCCGTGCCGGGGGGTCACTCTGCACAGTCCAGACCTGAGGGATCAGCTGGGCCTCCCTTTCTCAGCTGGCATTAGGGGCATGCACAGTGTGCTTGGATTTGAATATGGGCCCTGGCCTCCCATTTCCTGGTCAAGACTTTGAACAAATTCACCATCTGAACTTCAGTTTCTGCTCTTGTGAGGTGGGGGAAAGAGCAGTGCCTGCTTCACAGCATTAGCGTGCACATCAGATGAAGTAACAGTGACTAATTGGAACTTAGTCTGGTGCGTGGCACATTGTCGGCAATCAGTAAATGTATCTTTTATGATGACTTGACCTTTGGCTGGACCTGTTTATGTTTCCCTGATGCAGATGACAGGTGATATGGGCGGGGCCTCATGCGAGGAGCAGGACAGCTCTCTGGCCGGATCCCTCCTCCCGGGCGGAGGCCTCCTTCCCTGCCCCGCAGCCGCTGGTTTCGGGCAAGAAGGGAGACACAGGCCTGAAGGTAAGTTACCTCAGACGCAGTACCCTGTCACCCCATCCCCGGCAGGGGCCACTCCAGGCCCAGAGAGCCCTCAGTGTGGGCTGGGGAGGGTGCAGTTCTCAGCGCCTGGCAGGGAAGTTTGGCAAAAGAAGCGTGACCACACAGAGAACTGTGCAAACCTGGACCCTTTTGAGAATAAAGCGGGAGCTTTTAGTCATTACTTGGGGGCTACCGGTTAAAGCTGGATGGTGGTGTCTCTGTCCAAGAGCCTTCCAGCAAAGTAGAGTCCCTGGGCCTCACAAAGAAACAGACTCCCCGGGCCAGTTGTGGCTCAGTGTTTGAGTGTTTGACACTCCACCCCCGTCTGGGCACTTGCCCAAACTGCAGGCTAGATTCCCAGTGGGGGTGTACAGGAGGCAGCTGATCAATGATTCTCTCTCATCACTGACATGTGTCTCTCTTTCCTTCTTCTTTCTTCTCTGAAATCAATAAAAAGTATTTTTTTAGAAAAATAGCCGAAACCAGTTAGCTCAGTGGATAGAGTGTCGGCTTGCGGACTGAAAGGTCCCAGGTTCGATTCCGGTCAAGGTCATGTACATTGGCTGTGGGCACATCTCCAGTAGGGGGTGTGCAGGAGGCAGCTGATCAATGTTTCTCTCTCATCTATATTTCTGACCCTCTATCCCTCTCCCTTACTCTCTGTAAAAAATAAATAAATAAATAAATAAATAAATAAATAAACAAATAAATAAAATATATTTTAAAAAAGAAAAAGAAAGCGACTCTGAGTCAACTAGTCCGTGGAAGAGAGAAACCAAACTGCAGTCACACCCGATCCCTTGCAGTCCTGTTGTTTAGGACTCCACACCCACCTCCAAAACTTGTCCCTAGCTCCTGCCGGGTTTGAAGGTATTTGCAGCACTCTGGCCACATCTCTGGGTATGCCCCTGCCGTGCCCCAGAGCTTGGAACCGTGCCTGGCACAGAGAGAGTGTGTTTATTTGTGAAATGTGTGACCTGAACAAATCCATCAACAGCGTTCCTAGCATTAATTATTTAGTTATTGGCCCATCGACCTTCAAGGATGGTACCGTACTTAACTCTGTGACCCCAGCACCTCGCCAGAGGCCAGGCAAAGGGTAAGTTTTCGGTGATTGAGTGAATGGAAGCAGCCTGGCACCCCTTAGCTGTGCCTTGTCTTCTGCCTTCCTGTCTGGCCTCTCCCCACCCCAAGGAGCCTTTCACTGCAGAGCAGGTCAGAGGTAGGTCAGGTAGCCCATGACTTCCCACTGGCTGGGGCACCCAGCTCTGCCACCTTCTGTAAGCGGGCCCCTGGATGTGGAAAAAGAGATCAGGACTACTTCCCTGTGCTTTGTGAAGGCAGGATCCAGACAGCGATTAGACTGAGGAACAGGACGTTCTCCTAGGGCAGCGAGCTGTTTACAAAGGTGGGAGCGGAGCTGGGCAGGGAGGCTGAGTCCAGCTGAGGGAGGAAAGCCTAGGCATGGAAGGTGGCAGGGACCGGCGAGGCTGGAGCTGGAGGGCTGGAGCTGGAGGCTGGGCAGGTCGGGGAAAGGGGCTGAGAAAGCCGGGATTACCTCCTCGTGGCAAAGCCCGGAACTGCAGCGGGTGTTGGAAGGAGAGGATTGTGTTCAGCGAGGCCAATCCGCCACCCCACTCACTGGCCTGCAGTACCAACGCGGCCAGGCCTCCGCCCCAAGCTGGGAACCGCAGCTGCACTCCGGTCCCCGCCCTCAGGGGAGGACTGGGTCCAGGCCCCGCCCCGCCCCGCCCCTCCCGTATGCCTGGCCCCGCCCACACGCCCCTTCCACTCCGCCCGGCCCCGCCCCCTCCTGGCCCCGCCCCTCTCGCGACGACACCCAGTGGCCGCCCCGCGAAGTTCCTGCGCCCGTGCACGAGAGGGCCTGAGAACCCGGAAGTTACGTAGTCGGCGCGCGCCCAGGGGGCGGGAGTCAGCTGAGCTACCGGGGCGAGTGGGGATCACCTGAGCTCCGCTAAGGGGTCGGGGCTCTCTTGGCGGCGGGCGTGGGGTGCAGGACTGCGCCAGGTTCAAGGGGGAGCGTTCCTGAGCCACCTCGTTCCGTAAGGCGACAGCGAGAAGGTCCTCGGGATTTTAAAGAGCAGGAGGGCGGCCATCGCCAGCGTCTGTCAGATCGCTGTGTAGAAGCTGGGGAATCGCAGGCTCCAGTCGGGGCGCAGGGATCCCTGGCGGAAGCCCCGTTTGTAACCCCTGGGGCGGCGAGTCCCGAAGCCAGGCCCCATGGCGTCCATCCTGGATGAGTACGAGGACTCCCTGTCCCGCTCGGCCGTCTTGCAGCCCGGCTGCCCCAGCGTGGGCATCCCCCACTCGGGTAAGGAGAGGGAGGGTGGCTCACAGAGCCCTGGTTCGCCTCCTGGGCGTGCAGTTTGGGTCCAGGCCCCTGGTGCTCCCCGGGCTCTCGTGTGATGGTCGAAGTTTGAAAGAGCAGCCGCGTGATCCGGGCCCTGCCACTAGGGTCCTTGAAAGAGGGAACTGGGACCCAGATAAGGAAGTAACTTGCCTGCAGGACTGCAGTTGGGAGAACTGAGAATAATAGGCTTCAAGATTCACCTGATTCTGTGCTTTTCTCGAGGGCCTTTCTGGAGATGGGAGGAAGAGACTGGGGAAAGAAACTGTGAAAGGCGGGTGTTGTAGGAGAAGGAGGGATGGTCCTAGAGCTAACTTCGTCCCCAAACAGGAGGAAAATGAAGTGTTTTGGGCCTTTGCTAGAGCTGGGTGAAGCCTGGCACTGAGAGGAGACGTTTTTGCAGAGAGTAGTACAGAATTGGCAGAGGGGTCTGAAGTGCTGGGGGTTTTGAGCAATGGTAAAGGAATGAAGTAAAGCCAGAGAGAAAGCAACTTCTGCTTGTTAACCAGCTGATTGGAACGGTTTTCCCAGGTTCCCTGTAGACTCACTGAGAGCATTACTGCACGGGCAGGGAGGAGGGGAGAGGGTGAAGCTAGATGACTTTAGTTGAGCTGGGGTTGCTGGGCCAAAGATTGATAAGGGGAAATGCCCAACCCCCACTCGCCCATAACCATTGGGAGCAGGTACATCATGGCGTGACAGCATCCACAGCATCCCAGGGGTTCTGTCAGAAGTGTGCGAAGAGCCCAGGACTCCGAATGTAGAGGGGATTAGCAAGCTACTTGACATATTGGTTAGTTAACCAAGGCCCTGGGTAGGAATCTGTTGGGAAAGTGGAGAGCAGCACTGTTTCGTTGTTGTTAATCCTCACCGGAGGACACTTTCCCATTGATTTTTAGAGAGTGGAAGGGAGGGGTAGACACAGAGAGAGACATCGATATGAGAGAGACACACTGATTGGTTGTTTCCTGCACGCTCCCTGACCAGGGCTAGGGATCAAACCTGCAACAGAGGTATGTGCCCTTGACTGGAAAGGGAGCTGCAGCCCTTTAGTCCGCAGGCTGACACTATGCACTGAGCCGAACGGGCGAGGGCGGGAGCAGCTTGTTGTTGTTGTTTCTTGCCTTTCTTCCGTCTCTCCCATCGCTAACCTTCCCTTTGCTTCTCCCCTGTAGGGTACGTGAACGCCCAGCTGGAGAAAGAAGCGCCCATCTTCACGAAGCAGCGCATTGACTTTACCCCGTCCGAGCGGATCACCAGTCTTGTCGTCTCCTGCAGCCAGCTCTGCATGAGCCTGGGCAAGGACGCGCTGCTCCGGTGAGTGAGGGCCGGACACAGGAATAGGAGTGGATCGGCGATACTTCGGGACTGCTAACGAACTCGTGCCTTGCTACTTCTCTGGGCAGGTGAAATGGGGGATTTGGAATTTTCAAGAAATATTCTTCCCAAAGAGAACCAACGTAGGGTGGTAGTTAACAATAAGGTGAACCTGGATTCACATTCTATTAATAGCTCTACTACTTGCCAGCTCTGGAATCTTGAGTAAGTCAGCCAGCCTCTAAATGCGTCCCTTCCTCTGATAAAGATAACCCCCCCACTTAGTCACATGGGTCAGTGGAATCCTGAATAAATCCACTCTAAAGGGAAATAATGGTCTGGCTGGCATGGCTCAGTGATTGAACATCAACCTATGAACCAGGAGGTCATGGTTCAATTCCCGGTCACAGCATATGCCTGGGTTGCAGGCTCGATCCCCAGTGTAGGGGATGCAGGAGGCAGCTGATCAATGATTCTCTGTCATCATTGATCTCTCTTTCTCTCTCTCTCTCTCCCTCTCTCTCTTCCTCTCTGAAATAAATAAAAATATATTTTAAAAAATTGAGATAATGTATTTTAATAAATCTGGAAATAAATACATATATAAGTTGACAAAGGTATTAGCAAATTATCCCAGGAATAATTACTTGGGATAAAACAGCTAAACCTCTGTGTCACAGAAATAAATTCTAGGTGAAATCGTTATCGTTATTTAAATATAAAACATAAACAATGCACGCTGGCCCTAGCCGGTTTGGCTCAGGAGAGATAGTGTCAGCCTGCCAATTGAAGGGTCCCGGGTTCAATTCTGGTCAAGGGCACATGCCAGGGTTTCAGGCTCAATCAATCCCCAGTGTGTGTGTGTGTGTGGGGGGGGGGGGGGGGGCCTCGCGGTATGCAGGAGGCAGCTGATCAATGATTCTCTCTCATCTTTGATGTTTCTATCTCTTTCTCCCTCTCTGAAATCAATAAAAAATATGCATAAAAAGTAAATAAATAAAAATAAACAACGCACCCTGGTTGGTGTGGCTTTGCTGGTTGGAGTGTTGTCCTGTCATCCCATGCGCCATAAAGACGACAGGTTTGGTTCCCAGTCAGGGCACATACGAGGTTGTGGGGGTTTCATCTCCAATCGGGGCGCATACTGGAGGCAACTGATAGATGTTTCTCTCACATCAATGTTTCTCCCTCCCCCCATCTCTCTCTCGTTCTCCCTATCTCTCTCTAAACATATTCTCAGATGAGGATTTTTTTTTAAATATATATATATATTTTAAATCTTTATTCATATTATTACAGATGTCCCTCTTTCGCCCCCCCTCCGTTGCTCCCCTCCACCAGGTTCCCACCCCACCCTCTGCCCTTTCCCCACCCCCCATTGTCCTCATCCATAGGTGCACAGTTTATGTTCAGTCTCTTCCCACACACCCCTCTCCCCTTTTCCCCAAGAATCGTCAGTTCACTCCCCTTCCATACCTCTGATTCTATTATATTCAACAGTTAATATTGTTCATCAGAGTTTTTTTTAATTTCCTCGGTTTTTAGATTCACTTGTTGATAGTTATGTATTTGTTGTTCATGGTTTTTATCTTTATTTACTTTCTCTTCCAAAAGAACCCACTTCAGCAATTCATATAATTCTGGTTTGGTGGTGATGAACTCCTTTAGCTTTTTTTTATTGATGAAGCTATTTATCTAGCCTTCGATTCTGAGTGATAGCTTTGCTGGGTAGATTATTTTTGGCTGTAGGTTCTTATTATTCATCACCTTGAATATTTCTTGCCATTCCCATCTGGCCTGCATGGTTTCTGGTGAGAAATCAGCTGACAATCGTATGGGTGCTCCTTTATAGGTAACTACCTGCTTTTCTCTTGCTGCTTTTAATATTCTCTCTTTGTCTTTTGCTCTTGGAATTTTAATTATGATGTGTCTTGGTGTGGTCCTCTTTGGATTCCTTTTGTTTGGAGTTCTGTGCGCTTCCTGGACTTGTAAGTCTAATTCTTTCACCAGGTGGGGGAGTTTTCTGTCACTATTTCTTTCAGTATGTTTTCGATATCTTGCTCTCTCTCATCTTCTGGGACCCCCATAATTCTGACGTTGGTTCGCTTGAAGTTGTCCCAGAGATTTCTTACATTATCTTCAATTTTCTGGATTCTCTTGCCTTCTAGCTTCTGTGGAGGAGTGTCTTCTGGCTCTTTATGTTCCAAATCTTTGACTTGATTCTTGCGATCTTTCATTCTGTTTTTAGGACTCTGTATAATATTGTTTATTTCAGACAATGTATTCTTTATTTCTTGTTGATCCCTTATTATTTCTAGTTGATCCCTTTTCATATGCTTATAAGTCTCATTTATTTTATCGGCCTTTTCTAGGAGATTCTTGAACAACCTTATAAGTGTGGTTTTGAACTCCAGTCACTTTTTGTCCTCCATTTCTTTCGTTTGTGATCTATTTCATTGTCTCGGCATTTTTGCAGCTTCCCTGATGGGGCGGAGTTTCAGGGTGGAGCCTACAGCCTTGGCTTCCGGCAGCCACACCCTGTGCGGCTCCTGAGTTTCAGTATTCCTCAGGGTCCTTCAGTACTCGCTGCAAGCACCTCTGAGAGTGAGGTGCCTTCGAGTTTCGCCTGCTACCAAACAGTCTAGTCTCTCCCCCAATGAGCCCGGAACTGGGGTTCAGTTAGCCAACCGTTTCTTCTCTGCGCACAATGTGCACGCTTCCGGGGGCTCTGCCTTTCGCCGCTCCCCCGGGGTTCTGCCTTACAGCCCAGGCTCCCTCTGTATGAGCCTGGGTCCCCAGGGTCTGGCTTAGAACTGGGGTTCAGCGCTGTCGGGTCTGGGGCCCAGCACAGTTCGGAGCTTTTATCTCCTTCCTGCTAGGGACACCAGCCAGGCACTCAGCCGCCCCTCCTCTCCGGCTCTGTCCTCTCCACATGCGTGTCTCCGTACCTTAGGCTTTTACAGCTCCTCCGCTCTTCCTTCTGGTTTTCTCCTTGCTTCTCGTTGTAGAATTTCCAGTCAGTCGACTTTCCTGTAGTTCTGAGTAATGTCCATTTTATATTTTAGTTGTATTTTATTGAAATTGTTGTGTGCGGCTGCAGTTAGGTGTTTACCTGTGCAGCCATCTTGGATCCTCCTCTTTTTTATTTTTATTGATTTTAGAGTGGAAGGGAGAGGGAGAAAGAAATAGACCCATCAATGATGAGAGAGGATCACTGAGCCACATCAACCAGGCAGGTGAGGATTTTTTTAAAAAAGAATATTTAATAAATTTCTACGTTCTTGGGCTGAAGGAAGGTCTTCCTACTTAAGCTAGAAAATCCAGATGCCAAAAGCAAAAGATATAATTAATTGCATAGTAATTGCTATTGTGACAGAACAAATAGCAATGGTTCAGTTCAAGACAAAAGATGGTGGGAAAATAGTTTTTCCACATGACTAACAATCTACATCCTTGTTTCTTAAAAAGCCCTTATAAATTAATAGAAAAGGGAGAGCAAAGGGTATAAACAAGCAGTTCACAGAAGAGGAACTCCAAATTTCCACTAAACATCTGAAAATATTTTTAACTTCTGGGAATTCAAATTAAAATAACACTAAGATGCCATTTTTAAAAATTATAAGATTGGCAAAAATTAAAAACAGTAATATGTGGTGCTGGTGAAGATGCACAGAAACGGACTCTCATACATTGCTGGTGAGAGTATAAATTGCCACCATCTTTTGGAAAAATAATTGGCAATGTCTGTTAAAATTTGAAATTATAACTGACCCAGCAATCCCATTTTGGGAAATACATAACCATAGAAATAAAAGTACTCGTTGCAAGGATACAGATTCAAGGATATTGATTGCAGCATTATTTGTTTGTTTGTTTGTGTATTTGTTTGTTTTGTTAATCCTCATCGGAAGGTATTTTTCCATGGCTTTTCAAAGACAGTAAAAAGGAGAGAAGGAGGAGAGAGAGAGTGAAACATTGATGTGAGAGAGACACATCAACTAGTTGCCTCCTACACACACCCTGCCCATGGGCAGGGAACAAACCCACAAATGGGGTACGAGGAACATGTCCTTGACCAGGAATTGAACCTGAGACCCTCCAGTGCCCGGCTGGTGCTCCGACCACTGAGAACATCCAGCCAGGATGATCACAGCATTATCCCTGGTAGGAAAAACTGGACGTGAGCTGAATGCTTACCAGTAGGAAAATGATGATTAAATTATGGTTCAGCCATAAAAGAAATATGCATTTATTAAAACGAGTTAGAGCTGTATCTGTTAACTCAGTGAATGCTCATGAAATATCCAAGTGAGAAAAGCAAATTATAAGTTAAGGTGCCCACACACACACACACACACTATGAAGTCATTTTTGTAAAAATTGACAAAACACTATATTATAAATATGGAGAAAGATGTTAGCATCAGTGTTCTCTGTCGGGAATGACAGGTTTGAGAAGAAAATCATTAGTTTTTTCTTTATACATCTTTACAATGATTTCTTTAGTTAGAATGAGCATATAATTTAAAAAGATTCTAATAAGGGAACTATAATTCAAACAGGAATATTTCTCAAGGTTATTGTGAAGATTGAGATCATACTAGATTAAGCTCTTGGCATGGTGCTTGATATATAGAAAGTACTCAGTAACCATTAGCTACAATTTGTTGTTCATTTTTCACCCCAGGAGTCTGGGATACCCCTGCTTATTTTCCTGGATGCACTGGAGGTCTGTTGAGTAGAGGAGAAAGATTTCTGCTTAGTGGACTTCTCAAAATGAGGTTCGGGAGTTCTCAGCTGAGGGTTAAGGACCTGCCTGTGTTTCAGAGTCCCGTGGGATTGTGTTCAGAGTTTTATGTGTATATGTAGATTTCAGGGAAGAAAGGCTGTGGCTCTCATCAAATTATAAAGAGGTCTGTGATTCGAGAAAAGGATCTGCCCTCCTCTTGTCCTGACAGCATTGACCTGGGCAAGGCAAATGAACCCAACCATGTGGAGCTGGGGCGCAAGGATGATGCCCGAGTTCACAAGATGTTCCTGGACCACACTGGTAAGTGGAGGATGGCGGGTGGGGGTGGGGCTGAGGTAAGTCACTGTCTGGTGGTGAGGGCAAGGAGGAGGCTGAGGGTGGAATAGCAGCAACCTCCAGGATGCCACGCTCTCCCCTGTTCCAGGCTTTCACCTGCTGATTGCTCTGAGCAGCACAGAGGTCCTTTATGTGAACCGTAACGGACAGAAGGTACGGCCGCTGGCACGCTGGAAGGGGCAGCTGGTGGAGAGTGTGGGCTGGAACAAGGCCCTGGGCACCGAGAGCAGCACAGGCCCCATCCTGGTTGGCACTGCCCAAGGCCAGATCTTCGAGGCAGAGCTCTCCGCCAGCGAGGGTGGGCTTTTCGGCCCTGCCCCGGATCTCTACTTCCGCCCGCTGTACGTCCTGAGCGAAGAGGGGGGCCCGGCGCCTGTGTGCTCCATCGAGGCCGAGCGGGGCCCTGACGGGCGCGGCTTCGTGATCGCCACCACCCGGCAGCGCCTCTTCCAGTTCATAGGCCGCGCGCCAGAGGGAGCCGAGGCGCAGAGCTTCCTGGGGCTCTTCGCCGCCTTCGCGGACCACCCACCCCCGTTCCGCGAGTTCCCCAGCAGCCTGGGCTACAGCGAGCTGGCCTTCTACACCCCCAAACTGCGCTCCGCGCCGCGGGCCTTCGCCTGGATGATGGGGGATGGCGTGCTGTACGGGTCACTGGACCACGGGCGTCCCGACTCCCTGCTGAGCGAGGAGCGGGTCTGGGAGTACCCAGAGGGGGTAGGGCCCGGGGCCAGCCCACCCCTGGCCATCGTCCTGACCCAGTTCCACTTCCTGCTGCTGCTGGCAGACCGGGTGGAGGCGGTGTGCACGCTGACGGGGCAGGTGGTGCTGCGGGACCGCTTCCTGGAGAAGTTCGGGCCGCTGAGGCACATGGTGAAGGACCCGGCCACCGGCCACCTGTGGGCGCACACGGAGCGGGCCGTGTTCCGCTACCACGTGCAGCGCGAGGCCCGGGACGTGTGGCGCACCTACCTGGACATGAACCGCTTCGACCTGGCCAAGGAGTACTGCCGGGAGCGGCCCGACTGCCTGGACACCGTCCTGGCCCGGGAGGCCGCCTTCTGCTTTCATCAGCGCCGCTACCTGGAGAGCGCCCGCTGCTACGCCCTGACCCAGAGCTACTTCGAGGAGATCGCCCTCAAGTTCTTGGAGGCCCGGCAGGAGGAGGCTCTGGTTGAGTTCTTGCAGCGCAAACTGGCCAGCTTGAAGCCGTCCGAGCGCACCCAGGCCACGCTGCTGACGACCTGGCTGACGGAGCTGTACCTGAGCCGGCTCGGGGCCCTGCAGGGCGACCCGGAGGCCCTGGGCCCCTACCGGGAGACGCGGGAGCGCTTCCGCGCCTTCCTCAGCAGCCCCCGCCACAAGGAGGCGCTCTTCGCCAGCAGGGCCTCCGTCCACGAGCTGCTCGCCAGCCACGGGGACACGGAGCACATGGTCTACTTCGCCGTGATCATGCAGGACTACGAGCGGGTGGTGGCGTACCACTGCCAGCACGAGGCCTACGAGGAGGCCCTGGCGGTGCTGGCCCGCCACCGGGACCCCCAGCTCGTCTACAAGTTCTCGCCCATCCTCATCCGCCACATCCCCAGGCAGCTGGTGGACGCCTGGATCGAGATGGGCAGCCGGCTGGACGCCCGGCAGCTCATCCCCGCCCTGGTGAACTACAGCCAGGGCGGCGAGGCCCAGCAGGTGAGCCAGGCCATCCGCTACATGGAGTTCTGCGTGAACGTGCTGGGCGAGACGGAGCAGGCCATTCACAACTACCTGCTGTCGCTGTATGCCCGCGGCCAGCCGGCCTCGCTGCTGGCCTACCTGGAGCAGGCGGGGGCCAGCCCGCACCGCGTGCACTACGACCTCAAGTACGCGCTGCGGCTCTGCGCCGAGCACGGCCACCACCGAGCCTGTGTCCACGTCTACAAGGTCCTGGAGCTGTACGAGGAGGCCGTGGACCTGGCCTTGCAGGTGAGCCCGTGAGTCCTGTCGCCATCTAAGAGAGGGGCCTGGAGAGCAGCAACGTCAGTGCTGAGGGGTTGGAGAGGTGGCTGTGGCCGGGGGGCGCTGGCTTCCTCTGCGGAGAGGTGCTGCAGTACAGAGGCTGAGAACGGGGACTCTGAAGTTGGGATTTGAATTCCGATTCTGCCACTTTCTAAGCTGTGTGACCGCAGGCTCGTTCTGAAGCTCTCTGTGCCTCCGATGATTCATCCAAAGAAGGGGGTCATAGGATAGTACTTCCCTCAGATGAAAGTGCTGAATAGGAAAAGCACTCAGAACAGTGCCTGTTGCTTAGGTAAGTCCTACACACACGCTAGCTATTGTATTACGGTCACAAATGCAGAAGGACATTTCTCAAATCAGTTGAATCAAATGAGTTATTACCTAAAGGACTTACTGAATGTCTGAAGGCAGGGCCCCAAATCTGGATTGTGATGATGTGAACCCCCCAGGTGGTTTTTAAGTTCACTAAGATTGAAGCCCGCCGTCATAAGTAGCTTCTGCAGAGCTGTGGGGGGACGGGACCCCCCGAGGCAGGTTTCTGGCTCGGCTCCCAGAAGCCCCTTCTCAGGCCCAGGGTCTCCCTCGGCATCGGGCTCTCCCACAGCCTCTGTCCTGGGTGGGGAGGAGGCTTGACCCTAACACTCGTGGTTGCCCCACAGGTGGACGTGGACCTGGCCAAGCAGTGCGCCGATTTGCCCGAGGAAGACGAGGAACTTCGCAAGAAGCTGTGGCTGAAGATTGCGCGGCACGTGGTGCAGGAGGAGGAGGACGTGCAGACCGCCATGGCCTGCCTGGCCAGCTGCCCCCTGCTCAAGATCGAGGACGTGCTCCCCTTCTTCCCCGACTTCGTCACCATCGACCACTTCAAGGAGGCCATCTGCAGCTCCCTGAAGGCCTACAGCCACCACATCCAGGAGCTGCAGCGGGAGATGGAGGAGGCCGCGGCCAGCGCCCAGCGCCTCCGGCGGGACCTGCAGGAGCTGCGGGGCCGCCACGGCACCGTGGAGCCCCAGGACAAGTGTGCCACCTGCGACTTCCCGCTGCTCAGCCGCCCCTTCTACCTCTTCCTCTGCGGCCACATGTTCCACGCGGACTGCCTGCTGCAGGCCGTGCGGCCTGGGCTGCCTGCCTACAAGCAGGCCCGGCTGGAGGAGCTGCAGCGCAAGCTGGGGGCCGCTCCGCCCCCCACCAAGGGCTCCGGCCGGGCGAAGGAGGCCGAGGGGGGCGCTGCTGCCGCGGGGCCAAGCCGGGAACAGCTCAAGGCTGACCTGGATGAGCTGGTGGCCGCCGAGTGTGTGTACTGTGGGGAGCTGATGATTCGCTCCATCGACCGGCCCTTCATCGACCCCCAGCGCTACGAGGAGGAGCACCTCAGCTGGCTGTAGGAGGCGGCCGCCCCTGCTAGGCGGGCAGGCGGGCAAGCACAGCGACTTGCGGGTCTTAGGAAGGCGGCGTGAGGGGGCTGCTGCGAGGCCGCGGCTGTAGGAGGGAGCGGATTACAGCCGTGGCCCATGGGGGTGTCCGCGCTGAGCGCACCTGCCCGCTGCTCAGGCTGCTCCTCAGGGCGCCTTCGGGCTGCTGCTCCGCCAGGCCGGCAGCCCGCCTCCCGGCACAGGGCATGAGCCAGAAAGGTCACCGCTCCGATCGCCTTCCCACCCCCTCAGCATCGAACAGCTCGGTTTTCCTTCTCGCTCTCGGCACACTTCCTGCTCAGCTTCTAGAGCAGGAGTACCGTTCTCCCTTTTCACTCCGCGCCTCTCCTCTCCCAGAGGAAGCCCTCTCTCCTGTCTGCCCCCGGGGCGCAGAAGCGGAAAGACACCCCCTCCAGGTCTGGGCGTGGGGGTGGGGGAGGCGGTGCGGGCAGTGGGTGCGGGCTTGTGCACCCTGTTGGGTGTCCGCTGTGGAGGACAGCGGGAGCTGGTGATGGCGGAGAGCATTAAACTGCGTTGCACTGTGGCTCGAGCTGGTGGGTTGTGATGCTGGCTGAGTGGGCGGGGGCCGCGGGGAAGCTGCCTGGATCCTGCGTGCTTTCGAGCCTTGGCCCTGTGTCTTCACCTGGAAGTGGGACAGGATGATCGGCCCGTCCCTCCCCTCTATCCTCTGATTCTTGGCTTCTGTTGGAAATGACCACCCATCATCCTGTTTGGAACAGGGGCTGTTCTTCCCTCTGCCAGCAGGGGGTGCTGCTCCCCACAGAATCCTTTGCACGCAGGCAGCTGGACGTGCCGATTCCTCGCTTTCTCCAGGAGTGCTTCCTCAGTCTGTCCCTTCCCCAGTTGTCCCAAGCATTTTTCTGGGTGTCTCGGTGACCTAACCATGAATCTAAGCCCCTCGTTCCTTCTCCCTCCATTAGCCCTTACAAATACTAGGTTTTGCTTGCCCCTCTCCACCAGCTTGGATTCCTGTGGGCCCAGGTGCTGCCCATCTTTGATACTGCCCCACCACTGTCTGGCACTTAGCCATAGTGCTGAGGTCCAGCATGGAGGGGAGGGTGCCATTGCTACCAACCATGGCATTTGGCAAACAGGTTTTTTCCTCTCTAGCTCCTGTGCCCTGCCCCTCCCCCAGATCACACTTCTTTCGTTGTGGCTGGAAGCTAAGCCACAAGCAAAGATGCTTCGAGCGGGGCCTTCCTGTGACATCAGCGAACAGCCTTTGCTCCTGACGCGGGTGTCCACAGTCCACAGCCTGCTCTCTGGGTGTGGCCTGTTGGCTGCCAGACTGAAATAAAACAACAAGCGAGTGTTCCTGGAATCGGGCTGGGGTCAAGGCACCTGGCTGGTGTCTGCAGTCTCTTCTTTCTCCCTGCGGTCAAATCCTCCTCCAAGATGTGTCTGCTGCGGTCCCGGTGGAATCTTGCCCACCTGACTTCCCCAACCACTGGAACAACAGCAAGGCCTCTGCCAGCTCCGATGCGCCTCAGATTCCCCATGTTCCCCCAGAAGTAAGAGTGGGAGTAAGTGTGTGTGTGTGTGTGTGTGTGTGTGTGTGTGTGAGGGGGGGGGGGGTCTCACTGGGTAAGCAGAGGACATCAGAATCCTGTTCTCTTTCCCGTTCCAGGAAGATCTGGAAGGCTTCTATTCCCTCTCCCCATGTGGCCTAAGGCTCTCCTCACACCTACACATGCCCAGCAGAGGACTCGGGGTGTTGTACCTCCCCTCACCCCCTCCCGTTTGTACATTTTAGGTCTAAGCCTCGGCCTGCCCCTGGCACGGTCCCTTCCCTACTTAGAACAGCTTGGGGCTTCTGTCTGTGCACATAATGGGGGCCTAATATGCTAGTTAAACAAACACTGCCTATCGCCCCCTCCTCCCAGAGAACTTGGCTAAGACAGCCTGGGACGCCCCTGCCCCTTCTGTCCTCTCTCAGCCTGCCCATCTGGTCCCGGGCGGCTTCCTCATTCCTGGAAAAAGGCCCCAGGTTTCCCTGGCACTGAGAGAGAGAGAGGGGTTCCGTTGAGTCAGGGCAACGGGAAGCCACAGCTCTTAGATCCCTGGAAACCAAGCAAGGCCTGGAACGAAGGGGAGAGAGAAGGCCCTCAGGGCCTTGGCCCTGAGCCTGGGGGAGGGCCAGCGAGGGGGAGGGGGAGCTGTGTGGGCAGCGGCCAAGATGAATGAGCTGCTCCTGGAGCGGCCACTGGAAATAGAAGGAGTGGCCAGAGGCCGTGACGCTGGGATCAGGGCAGGAGGCCTGTAAACAAGGAAGCCACCTGGGGGAGATGCAGGGCGGCCACTGGTCCTGGGAGCAGGTGCTTCCTGAGGCCCGCCCTTGAGAGGCCCCTGGGGAGCCGCCCCGGCGGGTTGGCAGAGGACACTAGGGGACGCTGTCTACTGGCTTCCCCGGCCCGCCGGCTCCCTCCCACAGCGCCTGGGGGAGTGGCCACCGGAGGGTGTGCCAGCCCGGAGTCAGGCCTGGCTCACCCGCCTGGCCGCCCTCCCTCCTCTTGTCCCCAAGGCAGGCTGGCCAAGGGCACCGGCCCTGGCAGGGAGGGCTCCGGGCACAGAGTCTGGGCAGCCTGGTGTGAACTCATTCCCCAGGGACCACCGATCCTCAGAGTTCCTGCCCCAGGGCTTGGATGGCAGCCGGCAGGCACCAGGCCCATTGGGGGCCACAAAGCCACCGTCTCCAGACTGCCCTGGGCGCTGCCCCCCTGGCGCCAGGGAAACAAAAGGTTAGGGGGCCCGGAGGGACTTATCTGGCCCCACTGGGTGGGTGGGGGCATGAGGGGTAACCTCCCCACTCCCCCAGCTCTGCAGATTCTTCGAGACACTTTCACAGGCGGAAATTCCCAGAGGTCAGAGGAGGGAAACGGTTAATTCCTTTTATTCAATGGGTCCCCCCCTCACCGCCTCCCCCCAACTTCCTCCCTCCACTTCCCGCCCCCCCCCCTGTGTGAACAGGAAGTGGGGAGGAAAAGGCTCTGGGCAGAGCAGCTGGGAGCAGGAGGCGGGGAGTGGGCGGCAGGCCTGGTGCCAGCCCTGCCCCTCGTGGCTCCTTGCTGGAGGGCCAGGCCCACTGCGGCCTGGGAAACCCTGCAGCCCCGCCGCCAGCGGCAGGGGAGCCCCCTGCCCGCAGCCCGCTCCCGCCCGGGTCACCTGCGAGGCATCCTCTGCCCAGGACCCAGCTGCCCTCGCCACTGCAGCCCCACCCCCACCGCAGGCTGGGCACCCCGAGCTGGCAGGCATCTCTTTAGGCAGCCGCCAGTCCTGGCACTGGCTCCAGCCCCTCGGCCCTGCCAGTTCTTTGAAGCTCATGCAGCGCTTCCTGTTTGGGGCGGGCAATGCCAGGGCCCCTCCCCCACCATTGTTCTGTAGAGACCATAGGTCCATCTGTTGCCCCATGGTGGGGCCCCTAGGCAGTGCCACAAGGGAGCAGCACCACAAAGGACCCTGCTGGCAGCCCTGCTTCTGTGGAGTGCGGCTGTGGCGGGCTGAGGGTGGCTGGTGGTCGGAGGCAGGCCCGGGTGGGCAGCGGGACAGAAGCAGGAGGCCAGATCCAGTTCTTGGGCAGCTGGAGCCTCCACCTGGAATACGGAGGTGATTATATCCAGTCAGGGGGCGCGGAAGCCACCAGGAGAGGGAAACCATTCTTACGCCCGGCTTTCCAAAGGGAAAACTGAGGCAGAAGGGCAGACGTTGGTCTGGGATGGTCCATTCAAGGGGCATCAAGAAGGTTCTTCTTTCCGAGGGATTATTGCCCTGTGGCTGAACGTCCTCTGACGTGGTGCTTTCTCTCCCAGAGCAGCTCTGCCTTTCCTCAGCTCTCGCCTTGAAGTAGCCCTCGAACTGGGCGGGCAGGAACCGTGAGGCCATGGCAGGCGAGGGCGGCCCCAGGTTGGCGATCAGCAACCAATATCCGCAGAGAACACGCCCAGGCAGGCCTTCCAGAAAAAGAGGAAGGGGCAGTGGTCTGGCCCCGGGAGGTTCCCAGGCTGCCCGCCATGGCCAAAGGTCTGTTTGCTTTTCCCAGGTGTGAAGGCAGGTGCCGGGATCCCTGCAGCTTGCCTCCGCTGCCATAGCCCATCTCACAGCTCTGACCTTGACCTGCTTCCTCTCACAGGGCCAGAAGCCCAGCCACGGTCTGGCCTGTTTCCCACCCCAGATCCTCTGGCTCATCTTGCCAACCCAGGGCCTGAACTCCCTAGGTCACGGCTCCCAGGATGTCAGAGCGGCAGAGCCCTCCGAGAAAGGCTGTGGGGTGACGTGGGACCTTTGTTTCTGTGAAAACTTGCATGGATGTCCAACGCCTGAACTTCATAAGCTTCCCTGCTGGAAGCCAGGCTCGGGGGAGAGGCACGCCCCTATCCACTGTCCTCTCCCATCTCTATCTCTAGGGGATGCCAGGGCGCCCAAGAATCCAGCTTGAAAATCACTGAGCTGCCAGTCCCACGTTCTGATTTGACAGGTGCCGGATCTCGGGAGAAACGGGTGGCGGCACTAAGCTCCATCCAGGATCCCGTCCCTTCTCCAGGAGACTGAGCGTCAGTCAGCAGCGGATTTGGGAGCCAACCAGTGTCCCAGGCCCCTCACTGCGATCGTTCCTCATCCAAGCGGGCCGTGCTGAGGGCCAGGGAGGTGATCTGGAAAGAGCAAGGGCGGGTCTCTGCTCGGCCGTTCACCAGCCGTCAGCTGAACACACCCTCGGAACCTCAATTTCTTCGCCTGCGAAAGGTGAGTAACCATCACAGGCCTCGGGGGCTCAGGGGAAGCTTAGGCCAGAGAGTGAAGCACATCTGCCAGGGGCCCGGGGCCTGGCGCCTGGGCAGTTCCCCGGCTGCTCTCTCTCCTGCTTTGCTCTGCGCCTCACAGGGACCCTGTGAGCCCTGCCATGGCTCTTCCCGCGGAAACCCCTCTGGTCCCTCTGGGAATCAGGCTGGAATCGAAAGAGGCTTCGGTGAAAAGGTTTTTCTGGTTCTCGAACGTGGTGATGGTGGGGAAGAGAGGCTGCGGCTGCGGCTGCGAGGAAGCCCTCAGGCAGGTAGGAAGGATACAGCCGCTCAGGTGGGACAGGGGCGCACCTACCTTGGGGGACGGGTTGGGGTCCGGGAGGAGAGAGGGCGCTGCTCCAGCCCGGGGCGGACAGGATGACCGGCCCCCCTGCCAGCCTGCCCTCACGGTCCAGCCAGGGCTTGCACAATAGCCCGGCTGGCTGGAGAGCGGGCACTCCCCCGGGAGCCTCAGGAAGTCCCCTTTGACCTTTGACCCCTCAGGCCTGCTACAGGCCAGAATTCCAAGCAGCTGTCCTCTCTTTTACCTTCTGTTCCTGGTCCTTTCCCTCTAGGGCTGAGACTCAGAGACACCCAAGCACGCACCTTAGAGCTCATCCTTTCTCATGTTCTTGGGGGTCGACCAGCTGGGCCTCCCCTGGGCAGCTCCCTCTGTGGGCTGAGGGGACCCTTGGAGTCTGGCTGTCTGAAGGATGCAAGCCTTACAGGAAGGCGCCCCAGCAAGTGCTCCTGGATGTCCAGACGTCCTCCCAGGTGCGTTTCCTGGCTTCCTCCTGGTCCCAGAGCCCGCGGATGAAACCAGGAACAGCAGGCAGCGCCGCGCCCGCTGCCACCCTCCCTGGAGCCGGCGTCCGTCCGAAGAGCCCCCGACGCCGCTCCTCGCTGACCGCGCTGTGCCTCACGGCATTCGGTTTCACAATCAGACAATTCCCTTCGGTTTTCTAGCGGAATTTTTGCTTTTATTTTTTAGGGTTTCTCGGCTTTTTTTTTTTTTTAAGTAATCAGTCTAAATTTGTCATTACACATCCCCCATTTCCGTCCCTACGGGCCTCACTGTCATCCCCTGGAGTCTGGAAACCATATGTGTGGGCAGAAACCCCCCAGCACCCCCCAGTCCCCGGGCCCAGCCTGGCCTCCGCAGGGGCAGCCTGCTGGCTGGGGAGGAGTCTACTCTCCAGGCTGGGGCTGGGAAGGGAGTTTCTCTTTGGACCTTCCCAGCTTCAGCCATGGAGAAGCCGTGTGGTCTGGTGGTTAGGGCTGGAACACACGGGTTCTGTCCCCGCGATCTCTTTGACTAACGCCAGAAGCCTGGGAAACTCCGAGGGACTCAGTTTCCCCCGGAGCCGGGGGACTCCGAACTTCACTGCCTGGCTTATCTCCTCTCTGCCTGGGTGAAAAGTGCTTGATCCAAAATTTTTACCGCCACTTAAAAGCTGTGTGACCTTAACAAACGGCGTAATCTCGCTGAATGTCAATTTCCTCATCTGTAAAGTAGAAGCTATTATTGTACCTACCTCCTGGTTGTTGTTA